TCCTATTCCCCTTTTTAAGGTGGGTTTTCTCACCTTCCTGTTCTCACCACCCCTTCTCCTCAGCAGCAGTGATCCCTCAATCATTGTTCTGCAATTTGCAGGTCCATCTCCACATCAACCAGTCTTTGTTACAGCACATGACCCACCACACCTGATCTTCCCCACCGCCAGGAGTTTCATTTAAAAACAAAGCCAAGGTGCTGCTGCAGCTGGGGGAGGCTGGGGTGTGGTGATTCCTGCCTGGCTGCTGGAGTGAGCTGCTGCCTGGATAAGTCACAGGCCACCACTGCCAAGCCCCACACGGTGTTTTGAGCCTTATCAAGGCTTCTCAGCCTGCTGAGCTTGGCAGCAAGGCAGGAGTGTTCCAGCAGCTGGGCTGCTCCTGTCACTGAGTGTCTGTCTCCAGCGAATGTAGGCCAAGAAAAGCAGATGGGTTCTTCCATCACTCTCACACAACCTCTTCAGGGACAGACGTGCATTGTCTGGACAGTTTACTGGCAGCAGCACTGCTCTTTCCTGCTCTGAGCAGTGTCAGCATGGCCAGAGACAGAGCTTCAGCAGGAAAATGCTCCAGCGGAGGTGGAGCCTGATCTTCCCCAGAGGTGGCTGCTGGTGCCTCCTGATTGCTGGATTTCCATGCATGTGCCTGGCCAGGTTTCATGTATCAAGAACCAACAGTTCACAGTGAAACTTCAGAAAGAAGCTAACGAAAAACCCAAACCCTTTCCTAGTCTCTTCCTTGTGGAAAGAGCTGAGAGACAGGGTGGGATACTTGGGATGTCCTGGGCAGGACCAGAAGCTGGACTCAGTGATCCTGATGGCTGCCTTCCAACTCAGCTTATTCCATGGTTCTGTGATACTTCAGGCTGCCTGAGCACCAGCAGGTCTCCAAGGATTCAGGCAGCACAAACTGTAGGCAGAATGCTCCAAATGTGGCTGTTCCTCAAGGTTTCTGTTGTGTCCCTCATCATCCACCTGGCATCTGCCAGAGGGGCTTAAATGCAGTGACCAGCATCTGTCATGTCTAGTCTTTCTGCTGCACCTTCACTCTTTGCCATGCTGTGTTTTCTGCACCAACCCCAAAAGAACTCAGTTCCTCAAGATGGGGGACAGTGATACAGGTGGTTTTTTCCAATCACCAGCTTTTGATGTAAGCAATTCTGGAAATTGTCGTGGGTTGACACGGAAAAATAATTTTTCTCAGAAGGAAGAGGTCAATTTGGATATTGACCGATTTAAGGTGGACACGCCTCTGAGAACACAGAGGGTTAAAAGCAGAATTCCCAGGAGAACTCGCTCTCTTTGGTTCCGGTCAGCTGTGCAGTGCAGGACTCTCCCCTGCCCGGCCCGTGGCTGGGTGGAGAGGGGAAGGCCCATGGCCTGACTGAGGTAGGCCCAAGGGTGGAGGGGACTGGAAGCCCCCTGCAGATGGAAGGGTGGAGATATCTGGGATGTCTCCGTTCCCCCCAGAGTCTCTCTCTTTCCCAAGAGAGAGAAAGAGACAGCGGTGGTTTTGCCAGCAGTTCACCGCGGGGAAGGAGAAGAGCGGGGGGCTGCAAGATGCCCAGCCAGGCTGTGGGAGCTGGAGCCTGGGCAGCGAGACATCTCTGGGAGTCGGGACTTTTAACCCTTCCTGAGAAATGAAAGCTTTGTGAAATTTTTCTCCTCCTCTGTTTGAAAGAAAGGAAGAGAGACAGCTTGGACCCTGGGATGTTGGAAGGAGAAATTCTAGGTGGGAGGAGATGATGGAGTGGCTTTTGGTTGGACTTTTTCTTGGTAGCCACACACAGACTGAACCGATCTCCTCCAAAGAGAGACTGTATTTTAGGAGGATGCCGGTGAGCCAAAGAGACCATGCTTCAGCTGGGAAAAGACAGAAGTGGAGCGAACAGAGAATAGTTAGGGAGGTTTGTAGTGGTGCCCCCTGTTTTCAGAGAAGAAGAAAAGAAGATCTCTGTTCTTGGATCCTCAGCCCCAGGGGAAAATGGGGGGGGGGACTGTGGTCCCAAAAATGAAAAACTGAACTGTTGTTTTTTCCCCTGTTGGCAGGGCATCCTTGAAAGGAAAAATCCTAAAAGCATTCTGTCCATCCATGCATTGGTGGAGATGGTCAGCATGGCAAACTTTTTCTCTGGGCGGTGCCATGTGTGACATGGAAGCACAGGGTGTGGCAGCTGTGTTCCTTGGGGGGTCCGTGGCACAGGAGAGGCTCCTCTCTCCCTCAATGGACTGAGTATCAATTGTCTGGAGAGTGGAAACCCAATTGGGGTCCAGGTTGTGTCTCACTGTGGTTTGTTGGAGTTGGGTGGTGGGAGGAGGAATGCTTTGGGAGGTTTTCATTTTCAATTTTGTGTGTGTGGTTTTTCTTTCCTTTCTTTTTCCTTTTATAGTAACAAAAAGTCCTAATCTTGATTGTTTTGTGTTTCATAACAAATTTCCTGCAGTGGCATCTGCTGGCAAGGTTACCAACTGCAGCGTTTGCAGTGATGTGATGCAGGGTGGGACTGCTGGGTGTTAGCACAGGCACTAAGGAATGTTCTGCTGACCTATTTAAAATGTTGTATCAAGGACAGCTAAAGCTCTGAGGGAGCAGGCCTGACCTTACAGCTGACCTTGTTTTGAGAGGAACGTTAGATGAGACCTGGGTTTGTTCCAGCTGGAAATTCCCTGCAATCCACTTTACAAGTTTGATTCTTTGCTTTAAATATCATGGAATAAAACCCACTGATTCTTATTTACTTTAAGGATTTGCTTTCCTTGAATCAATGTCAGTCCTGGACCAGCTCAGCCCAGCCAAAGTCACTTTTCCTTGATGTCTGTCACAAATGAAAAATGGCAGATGTGTTTCCCTAGTCAGGCTGGTTAATTTCAATGTTCCTCACTGGGATACTGTCCAAGGAAGGAACATGTCCCAGGACAAGAGCAATGCAAGCAAGAGGAGGGACTGAAGGGTCGAGCACGTCTCCAGCTGTGTGAGTGTTTCCCTGGCACTCATCCAGATGTGTGCAGCCCCTCTGAGGTCATCTTGAGTCGCTGACGCAGATGTGTGGAAGAGAGAACGGATGTCATGAAAAATCACACTTGAATTAGGATTGCTGTGAAAACCCATCAAACACAGTGCAAGCTTAGGGAGCTGTCCTTCACCACTAGGGACAGACCTAGTTTTAAATGCTGAAAGAAGTTACTTCAGAGACAAATATTCAGTGATTTGAACTGAACAAGAAAAACTCTGCTTTATTTACCCCTAAGGCTCCCCACCAGAAAAACTATAGAGTCAACTGAATCTCACATGTCATGTGAAAGAGCACAGTGTCTGCTTTTAAAGCAGAAGGGACTCACTGCTCTCCAGGTGATGTAAAAAGACGCATTTGATGTATTCAGTTTGGTTAAGATCTCTTCATATGCAAAATCACTGGTAAATGAGAAACAATTATAATAGAAACTTTAAAATCATTGTAGCTTATTTTATTGTATAATTCAAAGCAGCAGTCTGGTACTGCTGTCTTTGAAGACCCAAATTATATGCTTGGTTTCAAGCTGCATATTTTATCTAAAATGGCATCAAAAATATTTTTAAAATAAGTAATTATTATAGTAGTATATATATAATTACAAAAAGAAAGGGGGTGGGGGAACGCAATGATCTGAAATATATATTTTTCCCCTGGGAAAAATTTAACTTGGCATAGTAGACCAAGGCACAGATGCTCTTTGGGTTCAGTATTTCAGATCTCTATAGGAGATATCTACCTATGTTTTATAATTATATAGTGAAACACAAAATTAGCTAGATGAGCCTACTGCTGTACTGCATAACAATACAATTCACCTTTTTTCTGTGGGGTTTCAAGAGTCATTTGTACATGTAACTTACCCTCTATAGCAAGAAACAAGAGAGAAATGACACAGCAAAGCACTGCTGGACCTTTATGAAGCCTACTGTGCTCTGCAAACCAAATCGTTTTTGATGTTATGTTTCAGAGGTGCAACAGCATAAACCCAGCACAACTCCGATTATTTTAATAGAGAGCAATTTTTGTCTGAGCAGTGTCTGAGGTTTTCATTTAGGCAACTCAACAGGACCGATGCTCTGATACAGTATGTTACACTTTGGGAACACTACAACAGGATCTGTTCAGGAAAAGAGAAGAACAAAAGGCATAAAGCAGCTTAACGCTGACCTAAATAATGAGGTATATTCCTTCTTAAAAACTCTTGACCTGCCATCTGGGAGGTTGATTCCCGACAGATTACCGAAACGCGCTGTTGTTTGGAAAGCCGCTCGCTGTAGGGCGAGCACGACAGAGGGAAAGCAGCGGGATGCGGCGGCGCGCAGGAAACCACCGAGGCTGCCATCGGCCACAGCGCCAAAATAATCCAACAAAAACCCGAGCAAAGCCCCTGGCGGCTTGCCCCACACCTCTCGGGTGCCACCAGCTTGTCCTGGGGGCCAGCAAGGCCCGGAGGAAGCTGTAAGCCCCGCCGCGGGCCGGGCGTGGCGGGCCCAGCACAGCGGCCCCAGAGCTCATTTCCTGCCGGGCGGGGCTGAGCTCGCAGCGGCTCAGCCCTGAGCCCTCGGAACCCCGGCCGCGGCTTCCACACTCATCGTCCTTCGGCTTCTCAGCAGTAAAGCCCTCCTTGCTAATCCCTGTGCTGGGGAAGAGGCTCTCAGCTCCCGCAGCCCGGCAGCCCACGGGGAGAAATGGATGGGGAGTCCCGGAGGTACATCTGGTGCTGTACCTCAGCTTAGCTGTGCTTCGGGTCCTGCTTTCTGGGAAGGTCCTGCCCTGGTTATTCGAATTATAGGAATCTGAATACATGACATTGGCGTGCGTGATGTTTATTTTGGGGAAATGGAGGAAAGCAAGCAGGAAATTACCATACTAGAGGTGTACCTGCACCCAGAAAATCACAGGAACTAGCCTCTGTTGCTTTTTTCTAAGGCAGGTTCTTCTAGAACTGATGCTGCTTTGCTGCATGTTTGTAAGTGGGATACAATAAAACCTGGCAAGCTCTGGGGCTTAGATTTTAGGCTTATCTCACCCTAAAATCAAAATATGCACAAGTGCTACCAAGTGCAGCTGATGAAGCCACAGGTGTAATGTTAAATGGATGTTACTGCTTTTTCATGTGTAGCTTCCTGTATTTTAAGGCTTTTGATTTTCTGAATACTGACAATGCTTGAAAAATCTCTTACAAAATATAAATTTCAATAATCAAAATTTAAATCATCATTCTGTCCCATGAGTCTAAGTTTTAATCAGAATGATTCCTGCCTTTTTGCCTAGCAACACAAAAACCTCCTAGAGAAAAATTTATTCCTGAATATTTCCAGAACTTTATATAGATCCACATTTAAAAATATTTCTAGTGTAGCTGAGGTCTGAAGTGATGTAGCTCTATTCCATATGTGAAGCCGTGAGGTGTGTGTGTCTGTTGGTAGTCTGAATTGGAGCTAGCCCTGAATGTATAGATTTTAGCTGAGATTGAACTCGAATTAAAAGAAATGCCAGTCTGATTCCCTCCTATCTGAGTTGATCTTTCTATTCCTCGAAGCACATTTCAATAACTCTCTTGTTATCCTCCTCTGAGACCCCGTATGCTATTATTGTTCTTATCTATACATTCCCTTGATTATGGCACTGTCCACTGAGCCTGTCATCGCTGTGGCTGCCTCATAATGCCTGCAATTATTGCTCCGTGGGCTGCCAGAGCCACTAATGATGCTGTGTTGGCTGTTGGTGCTGCGGGAGGCGAGGGCTGTGTGCTCACCCTGCAGAATGCCGGGAGCTGCAATGGGAAGAGCAATGTAGGTCACAGCGATGTCAGGATCTCCTTGTGGGGGCAGCGATGGTGCCGGGGGGTTGCATCGGGTTCACAACAACTGATTCTCTTGGAGTCTCCTGGGCTTTCAAAAGGAGCAGGGTCTTGTATGTTTATGCTGTTGTACCTTTTGATTTGTGCAGCACCCACAGCTTCTGCTGAGATCTGCTCCCTCTGGGTCCTCAAGGTTGGTGTTTTCATGCACTCTCTCCAGATAAAAATTCATCTGCTTGTCCAAAGCATGCTGTTCTGAGCTGGATGCTGTTTTCTGATCAAAGAGTGTGCCTAATAAATTCCTCCAATTTGTCATCCAAAGCAGCCTTTCCTACTTTTGGCACTATGTGGAAGCTGAGGGTGGATCCAAGAAGCACAAGACCAATCCTTTTTGTGCTGCTCAGCATCTTCACGTGTGCATTAGCCTATGAGCAAACTGTGAACCTCACAATGCTGAAATCCCAGATAAAAACTGGCACCTTTTATCACCACAGACTGAAGTGACTCTTGTAAAGTGGTAGAGAAATATTTCTGCGTTTCAGGTCATTAAAACCGTGTTGCAGAAGTACAATATAGGAAATAACACAGCAGGGTTGTGGCACAGCAAATGCAGGCTTTGCTCTTGGAGGCCTCTAAGCAGCATCAAGTACAGGTGGGGAAGGAACAGACCATGGAAAAAGCATCAGGGCAAGATTTTATACTGTAAGTTATTTCCCACAAACAAGGGTGGGAAGGGAGAAGGAGCAGGGATGGTGAAATGTCTCAGCCCTGGTATATTTTTTTGCACAGCCTGTTAAAGACCAACATATAAATCTGACTCAGTTTTAGTTGACTAAGCGGGGCATAAGCCCAAGAACAACATCTAAAGCAGGCCAGGACAAGGTCACAGCTGTGTGCTGGAGAAGACAGCACAAGCCCTGGCTCCCAGACACACCGCACACACACACACACACACACACACATTCTCCTACAGGCTCCTGGCTTTGGAATCGAGCCCAGGGGTGCATTGGGAGACCACTGTAGGGAGTGTACCCCAGGTCATGCCTGGGTGGCAGCCAGGTCAAACTGCTTTGCAAGGAAGTGCTGCCATTCTCAGCCAATGAGCCCTCTGTGATCTGCCAGTGCCTGAGGAAAACAGAGGAAAATGAAAAAATTCAAGCCTTTTGTCCAGTCCTACCTCTACGAAGCAGTGACTTCCACTTCCACTGCAAATAGGAGAAAAAGTTGAATTCTGTGCCATACCTTGTATCTAGCAAGTACCTTTCCCCTTCCCAGGGCTGGACGCCTTAGAGCAGTTTTCCTCACAGATAATTAGCACGATAATTGCGATGTGTTTAACATACACCTATTGTGAGAGGTTGCAGCCTGCACTGATTGCTTGATTTTCCCATGGTCTAATTGCAGTCTGTCAAGCCTGAAACCACATGCTCCAACGTGCAAGGCAGGGTCTGAAATGCTCTGAGACTGTTATTCTCTCCGGTCTTGTGTGTGAGGTTGCTGTGGACATGGGCTCTGCTGAGAAAAGGGTAATTTACTTTGAGCTCTCTCGGTATTGTGTGGTTCTCCATCAGAGAGGGCTGCTGATGATGCAAACCCTGCCCACAGCCCGATCGTTACAGGCTGGCTTCGTGCACACACATGCGAACTGCTGATTCAGATGGATTTTTAATGAGGGGAGTAAATCCAAGAGTGAAGGGAACTCACTTGCACAGCCTTGGCCAACCTGCTGCTTCGTGGGGCCTGGAGGCTGTTGCAGAGTGTTGGTGTTGAACAAAAAAGCACTTGGAGAATATCTCTGATCCCCAGGTGGGCATTTGAAAAGAGCAAATTGTGTGGCCATTTTAATACTGAGAGGTATCCTTCAGTTAATAATATATTAATAACACCAGCACAGGGCAACATTTCTCAACTCATACCAGTGCTGTGTCACCAGCTTGTTAGATGTACACAACAAATAAATCCTATTTTTCAGGTAGAATGTGGAAAAATAGGTTTACCTCTGTTGGATACTTCAAGTTGTATCCAGTGATAAATGTCCCCTGCAAGCTTTAGTAATGAAAGCTCTTAGAAGGGAGAGTTGCAACAGCCACCTAAGCTATTCTAGATGGAATGTGCTGCTACAATTTCAATAGATAAAATGTAGAGGAAACTTTGTTTCCTGGAAGAAATAATTTATCAAGCTAGTGAAACAAAGTATTTTTTTTTTTTTTAGGTCCCAACAATTCCTGGGGCTGTCCAGCTATCAGGACAAGTAAACTGTGATGTAAGAGCTGCTCTTCTGTCTCTGTGAAAGCTTTTCCAAGGGGCCTCAGAAAACACAGGAGAGGAAGAGCTGGCTGTGGCAGCAGGAAGATGGATCCTCCTGTAAACCCAGTGAGTGCCAGCTCAGAGCCAAAAACCCTGTAACAACCTGGTCCTGCAGAGGACAGCTGAGAGGTACAACTTTGAATGAAGGAGAGGGAAGAAACCAGGATAACTTGTGTGTGCCTTTTCCTTCCATGTGAATATTGCATGGGCAGTTCATCCCTAAAACAAGCTGCCAGCCTGCAGCACCCAATGTCACCAAGTCACCAAGGCAGGCCCTCAGTGTAGGCACATAAAGGTGAGGGGGCTGTTGGGATCTGCCCAGTGACAATTACACACAAACTACAGCAGTTGAAATATGTATTCCAAAGGAACATGGAATTATAGTAATTCCAGTGAGGCATGGGATAGCTCACAGCCTCAATGGCCTGGTGGATATGTATAATGCTCCCATGTTTCTTACCAATTTAGGTGGAGGTCTTATTCTCTTACCAAAACCAGATTCTTCCTAATTGATCTGTGTATTTGTTAATTTTACCCCTGCTATTTTAAAATTATTTTGTTCTGTGTACCAGAGAGCAAATGCAGCCTAGATTAGACTGCGTAGACCAGAGTCAAGGGTACCACAGCTGTGAATAAAGTAGCTGTGTTTTGTGCAAAAGATGTCTAATTCATTATAGAGTTTCTCCTCTCTGCCTTCTCCTCCCTTCTGTATGGACCTGCAGGAAACCACCCCTTGAGACCACAAGGTGAAGCCCAGAGGCAGCTCATCATGATCTTGGTGACTGTGGTTTCTTTGACAATGTCTCTAAAAGCTATTTCTACTGAGAGGTAACAGCCTGCATTTGAAAAAAAAAAAAAAAAATTAAAAATCTCTAACTTGTGGGAATGGTCCCAAATCTAAGCCCCTCAATGCTTCAGGTTGGAAACTGGTCTGTATGGTTGTGGCGTCACTGCAGTACTGCTGCTCTGGGAAGGGCACAGTGCTCCCTCCCTGTGCCATGCAGCCCAGCACTCACACCCTGAGCATGAAACTTAGGGAGAAGGAACGGCTGAGGGTTTGTTTTGCTTGTTTTGCTCCTCACATGAAGCTGTACATTTCCAGAGCACAACATCAAAGCTCAGCTCTGCTCCTGTGCTGCTAGCAGAGATGTTCAGCAAGTTTGTCTGCTTTGTAATGGGATAATGAAAGGTGTGAAGAAATATGCAAACAAGTAATGAAAGAAACCAAATAGATTAAAATCAGAAGGTTGAAGTGCTTTCCCCCCCTTTCTTTATCTTTTCTTATTTTTTTATTTCTTTTCCTTTCTCGTTTTTTTTTCCTTTCTTCTTTTACCCCCGTTCTTTTCGTGTTTTGTTTCACACTTGCACTGTGCCATGTTCTCAAACAGGGTAATTTGCAGGAGCTTAGGAGAAATTGCTGTGACAGGCAGCATGGCTAAATACTGTATCTTGGAATTGCCCTCCCTGGAGCAGCTGCTCAGGATGCCAGGGATACAGTACTTTTCCTGTCTGAGAAACAAAACAATAAGGCTCAAACACATGGCTTCTGGAAACACTTACAGACAAACTTCTTACACACTGAATGTGCTGAAACTATAAACTAGATGTTAGGAGGGCTGAGCTGATTTCAAGTAGACTTTCAGGAATTTCAGAGAAGGCTCATAAACCATCTTTACCATATAAATTTTGTATTGTAAAATTTATAAAGTGTTTATATTGCACACACACATATATATAACACATGGGGGGTTTATATTATAAATAATGTAATTCTGCATAACTGTATAGTTATGAATTCTATAGCAGTAATATATTGTGGATTATTTGCAATATATAGCCTATATAGTGAGATAAATGTGCAGCTATAGATTTCTTATGTATTTATAAACAGTTTCTTGCATGTTTATAAGCCTGTAAGCTCTGATTTGTTTTAACTATTGAGTTACATACAACTTCTCTCCAATGTATGACTCCATTTCTCCCTTGCCCCTTGGGAGCTGTGACACTTTGTCTGCCTGCACATGAAAAGCTGTAACAGCTCTACCCTGCTAATAAAAATAAGGCAGAAGAGAGAGGATGAGTAGGCATAAGTCACTAAAGACTAGCAGAGCTCTCATTTTGCAAAGGGAAGTCAGTGGAAATCTTTGGTGCTGACTTATGGACACCTGGGGAGCATGAAGCAAAGGAGAAAGTGGGCTCCCTTTGGTCTTAGAAGTGGTGATTTAAGTTCTTATCCCCACCCCTGCAAGGAAAGGAAGGGTTAGACTGGTACAATTAATGAGCAAAGCAACTGAATACATACAAAGTGGCCAAAAAAGTCATATTTCACATTTTTTTTCAGTTTTCTGAGAGGCTGATTACAGTAACCAGATATAGACTGTGGTGTGGAGAGGGATTTGATGCTTTGAAAAGAGGAAATTCCCCTCTCTCAGCAAAGGAAACGTGCTGCACCTCAGAAGGCTCAAGGAGCATTTGGCTGCTGTGTGCAGGAAGAGAAAAGCATTTCATTTTGAACTTGAAAGCAAAACTGAGTTTCAAGTGAACAGCAGAGCAGCAGCATCACAAGCCAAGTTTGCAGTTTGGGTGACTTGCACAGTTCCTTCACTGAAATGTAAATATGTAGGCAAGAAAGGATATACAGAAAGGACTTTCCCTGAGGTTTTCCTTTGAAGGAATGGGAGAAGCCTCCCCAGCTTTTGTGCATTTTTGAAATAGATCTTTTTGAAGTGAGGGCTGCAGGGGAAAGGGGAAACTGTGAGAGACGCTGGATCAGTATCTGTCTAGAAACAGGCTTTAGTGGTCTGAATATTATGGTACTTCTGAAAAACGTTTTTCAATCCAAATGATGCTGATTTATGCATAGAACATGCCCTCCCCTCCCAGCTCTCCTTCAAACTTGAAAATGCTGTAAAACCCCAGTTTTGAAGCAAAGCTTGAGGATGCAGTGATGATCTCCTGATTTCTGTTTAGCAGCTCTGGCTTTTTTGGCCATCAGGAGCTGCTCCATAATTCTGCCTGGATTGTATCTTTTTCTCCCTCTGTCAGGTGAAAGCTCATGTAGTGTCTCAGTGCCAAAGTGGCAGGTGAAGATGGGGTCGCTGCTGCACCTCCACAGAGCCTGAACTCAGGCAGTCCAGGAAATGGCTTTGCAGCCACCACAGCTTCACCCAAGCCTGGTGCAATGCCAGCAGAGGTTGTAACTGGGGGAAACGTGTTCTGAGAAACGTCATTATATGTAGCAGAGAGGAAGGGAGCAGAGAAGTAACCAAGCAAGCCGGGTGTCTTTTCAATTGCAGTGCGGTTTTCAGCCCTGCTTGCCCAATCACCTTTGCACCACAAGGCCCTCCTGCCATGTGCCTTCACCTGGGCCGTGTAAGACAAGTAACATCAGTGCTTTACAGCAATAACCTCTGAGCCACACTACAGTGGATTTTTCTTCATGAAACAAGTGAGAAAAAGGGTAAATGACTCCAGTGCAGCACGATGTTATGCACAGTTAAGATCCACAGGCGTTCCAGCAGGTAGACTTGGGCACCACCACGGGCCTGGCTGTTGCAGCAGGAGGGATCCATCCACATCAGGTCAGCCAGAGTCATTTTGAAGGGAAAGCACAATTGAAAAGTGAAGGGAGTGAGTCACCGTTGCCTGTTGGCATAAATGCAAAGTACTTAGGAGCAGGAAGTGTTTTTGTTTTTGTGCAGGGGAGTGTGCTCAGGTCAGGTTATCACTGAGGTGCACTTCTGGATAGCAAAATAAGGGCTAACTCCACCAGTGTGACCATCCTACCTGAGAGGGGTTATTTCATGCAGTTCAGTATCACGTACCCAGGATTGCTTTTTGTTTTTAACACTGTATTTAACAACACTGAACCTTAAACCAGCATCCTGCCACCTACTGCTCGTGAAAATACCAGATGCGGTATGTGCACAGCAGTCTCATTTTGGCCTCAAAAACCTCATCAAAGCTCTTGGGGACTGGTGGATTGGTCAGCTCTGCACAGGTTGGGAAAAATATCCTGTGAGCCATCTGAATTGCCCTACTGGGACTCTCAGTCAGTGTAATGATGTCTGCAGCACAGCCAGCTTTCTTGGAGAACAAAGTACAGTTTCCTTTTGTGTGCTGAACAAACAAACATTGTGTGGGAATTGGTCCTAACAGAAATCTTTTTCTTTTTTAATATCCAAGTCACTTTTTTTTTTTTTTTTTTTTTTTTTTCCCAGAACAGTGACCCTTGGGAAGGCCTGTGACTGGTTTGTGAAACTCAGAAACTACAGAGGTATGCATGGTGGGGACAGACAACTATTGCAATAACATCAGGGATGGCTCTGCAGTTAAATTTAAGCATAGAAGTGTCTGAAAACTGGCAGTCTGCCTAGTGCCAGAATTTCTTATGAATTCTATGTTTAGTATAGTTTAGGTTAGGAATCATCCTAACTATCCTTTGTCCTTTAATTAAATGAGAGGTCTGCCATTAGGCTCTGCTTGCCTTAACTCATGTTTTGGGCTGAGTTTGTCCTGCCTGGTAAATGGGAACACTGGAGAGAAGCAGGGGAGAGAGAAAAAGAGAAGACTCCGAAGTACCTGTCTTTGCTGCTTATCTGTCTCCAGGTCCTGGCTCACGGAAAGTTTTTACACTGACAGCATCTTTCAGCAATTCTGTTCCAGCTGTTGGATGCTCAGTGCTTCACCAGGAACCTGGACACAAATTTGTCATTGAGCTATAATGCACATACAAAGCCACGGCCAGAGCACACAGACTGTAAAATGAAGGAACATAAGAGAGATTTGTGCAGATGAGGGAGGTGTAGGCTTGTACATGCAAATTCTGCCCTGAAGCATCTTGATTAATTTACTGAAATTGCTTGTAACAAAACTAAATAAATGTGGACATTTTTTGAAACAAGGATTTTAAATTTTAAACAATGAACAAGGATCACATATATATTGAAGCTCTTCTCTAACACTTATTATTAATACTTTTGGAAATGCTGAACTTGATGCATGTATGCTAGTGTGGTTTTTAGAAATCTCTTCTAAAAAGCAAACATCACATCTGAATCAGTTTAAACCCTGTATCTTCATAAACTGCAGTGGATACATTAAGTACATGAATATATATCTTAACATGTTATTAGAAATATAGATATTTAAGTTCAAAGACTTAATTTATATTTAAATTACTGTGTTTTAAAAAATTATAAACAAGACTAGTTGAGCAGGTTTAATCAAAGTCAATTTTATTGAGAGTAGATATGCAGTGATACCAGCTCCTAAAGCAAAATATGTGAGCTCATCGTTTGCTAGATGCATTGAGCTGATTACTTCATTTATCACTTCTGGTTTAGGCCTGCATGTTTGGAGTAATTAGATTTTTTTTTTTTTTTCTAAAATAAGATGAGAGGTGGGAGGACAGCAGTAGTGCCAAATACAAGACACAGAATATGAATGCCATGTTAAATAAAATCATATCATTGGTGTCTGTACCCTGGTAAGAATTATCATCTATTCTACATATCCTAGTGTATTTGTTACAAATATGTGTCTAAATTTACTATAGTTATTTTCCTTAAATATTCCCCCATAGTGCAGTGAATTTTTAACACAATTTAGAAAACTGGAGTTGGGTGCAATACTCTGCCTTGATGCAGGGTCTTGTTTGCCACTGGCCCACTCAGCAGCCTCACTGCTGATCCCTGCCTGGCTGTGTCCCGTGGCTCCAATGCCTGTCCATCCCGGACCAGCAGCCTCTTCAGCCTGTCTTGCAAACAAATACATTAGAAATATTAGTTTCATCTTACTGCAGGGAGTTGTGTACAGTGCCAGCCATGGGCATAAAAAAAATCATGCATTGGTTGCGAAAATAAGGCTGGGAAGTTAATGTTGTTTTCATTCTTTATCTATATACATATATATTTATGTGTATTACATACACATGCACATATATACATGTGTACTTGTTTGTGTTGACGCTTCAAAGCCTTTGGGCTCTGTCTGTTTTGCATTTGCCACCTGTTTAATTTCTTTCTTTTTCCTCAGGTACCAGAGTGCCTTCCTGTTTAGGGGTAACATTGCTAATGTGCCAGAAGTGGGGATTGAGGCCAAGTTTCTCCCTTCATGCAGGGCAGGTTGTCGCACAGGAACCAGGAAAAGGTAAGTTCTGTCCCTCCCATCCTGTGGAGATCCCTGCAGAAGTCCCTCTGCTCTGTAACCTCTTTCTGAAGACTAAGAATACAGGTTTAAAAGCCAGAAGACTTCTGGAAAACCGCTTGTGAGTCAGCGAGTACCCAGGGGATGAACATGGCTTTACTTTGTATTCAGAATAAGCCATTTAAACTTTGAAGTTTTCTCTCTCTAGAATGAAAGCCACTTTCTGTTTAAACGTTTACAACTCTATCAAGGACATAACTTTGCTACATAGAAATGGGTCTGTATTACCAATGCTTGGAAATCCTGTAGTCTGTGTTTTCCATAAGCCTTCAGAAACTTGACTGTCCCGAGGGCTTTCTGCTGGAGTAATTTAACAGCCATGCTGCAAAAATGGCAAAGTAAGCAGCCCAGCAGAAGATACAGTAGCCAAAACTCTTATCTCGAGACCCATTTCTTGGACAATTGCATCAACTTCCCTCAGTCAATAATGAGTAGTATTTATAAATTCACATACAATACAGAAAGGAAATTTGATGCACTGTTGTGGAGATCAAAGTTTCATTGTGCTTTTTTTCTCCTTCTCCTGTTTAGAGAACTGGAGTCAGTTTGCATGTATCCGTGTCCCTCTTCTTATTGATGAGCCCAGCACTTTTGATAGCCTTGAGTATTTTTTAAAGCTGTTTCTTAAGATAAACATTTTGCACAACTTCCC